CCTCGTTGACCATAAAATGGGAAATTTAAAAGGAAATACGCCAATACGAGAGGAACAAATAGCCCTCACCAACGAGACGGGACACAAGCTTTACATCTTTGAAAAGATACGAGCTACAATAATCCTCAGAAATGAAGAAATAAGACACATCATGTACGTAATAAAAGATGATTTTCTGGTCGCTTACAAAAGAATTCTCGGTATAGAGTTCTTAAAGAAGTAATGAACAAAATGCGATCATGCGAAAGAAATATGAATTAGAAACATAAATCTAAAATTACATCCTCACAAGTAATTTATATTAACACCTCGCAGTAATACAATTTTACAAGCTATTACTAGTCAAAATCAGATAGGAATAGTGAAACCCGAAGAAACTGAATCAGGAGTATTTATTGGCACTTGCCTGATAAAATCCAATGATTATATCTGCCCAATAAGTGTAATTAATACAACTATCGAAACTATTTAAATTACGAGCGTAACGTTAGACACCGTACAGCTGAGTGACGCCGCTGAGATGTTCACATTACATGAGAGCGATGGCGGAACTGTACAGTCACGATAGGAATGCTTACAAAAAGCACGGTACGAAAAGTGCAGAACATCTAAATTATGAAAAAAAGAAAGCATGAACGCAGATATGCATTGACTTTTGTGATATATTTCACTTGGAGAACGATTCACTAACTTACACTACGACAATAGCACATGAAATAAATACATGTAGCGAGAGCGTCTGTAAATGTGCGATCCTATAGATTGCCGGAGAAATATAAGGCACAGGTAAACCAGCAGATTGGAAAGATGACAGAGTGATATGTCACAGTACAAATCAATGGAATGCGCCAGTACAATTGCTAGTAGTACAATGTACGCAAAGAGAGTACGCAAAAAGAGTGGATGCATCTGGGAAACAAAAACTACGCATCGTAAATTTTCAAAAATTAAATGATTTGACAATCGGAGATTCCTCTCCATTACCAAATATAACAGACATCCTAGATCACTTGGCAAATTTTTAACGTTAGACCTTGCATTCGGATACCATCAAATTCCGATGAAGAAAGAACATAAAAGTAAAACGGCTTTTCTCATACCGTATGGACACTACGAATTTAACAGAATGCCTTTCGGACTTCAAAATGCGTCCGCGACAGTCCAACGGCTGGTGAATTCGGTGTTAATCGGAATTCAAAATGTCTAGTATATCTCGACTATATAGTAATATACGGTGCAACACTGAATGAACACAATAAACGATTAACTGAAGTAGTGACAACGATTGAGAAACCATAATCTTAAGTTGCAATCGGATAAATGCGAGTTTCTCAGAAAAGAAGTTACCTATATAGGACATATTATTACAGAAAATGGGATATAATCCGATTCCAACAAATTGCAAGTGAGAGAAAAATTTCCAATATCAAAAAGGGTGAAAGATATACAGTCATTTTTAGGACTTGACGGATACTACTGGAAATTCATTCAAGATTTTTTAAAAATTGTCAAGCCAACAAAACTAATGAAAAAACGGAAAACATTGAATTGGAGTATTGAACAACAATACGCTTTCCAGACATTGAAAGAAAAATTAATTATGGTGCCAGTATTAAATTATTAGATTTTAATAAGGAGTTTCTAGTAACCATCGACGCGTCCGATTACGCTATCAGAGCAATACTATCACAAGGACAGATAGGACAGGATCGTTTAATAATCTAGTCAGCAGAGTCTTAACACTACCTTGACGGTTTAAAAAAATCAATTTTTTGTGCTAAAAAGATCCCTTAGGTCTTAAAAATAAGATACAATTGATCCTATATGTAAAAAGAATTCTTTTCCCCCTTTTTTTAAGTTTCCTGCAGCACCTTCGGCGCCTTGAATGAGCACATAGCGAAACAGGTATACGGAGCTCTTTAGATAATGTTTTCAGTTACCTGGCAAAAAATTTAAAGAAGAAATTGACAAGTCGTAAAAAATTTAAAAAAGACAAAGGACTTGGCGAAAAAGAAAAATTAACGGGCAAACTTATTGAATTGTCATATTGTCCCTCTATTATGGATTAGTCATTCGTCGAAAATGATTCTGTTGAGAAAATGCCAAAATGACGCTATATCATAAAATTTCGACAGACAAAAAGCCGCAGCACGGCAAACGAGCGGCCCAGGGTGCTTCGAGGGCCGTTCGATAGAGTCGTTCGATAAGTCAGATAAAAAAGTAATAAAATCACCTATTTTCCGGAAAATTCTTTTTCACTTTTTGTCTCCTTGGAGCTCTACACACTTAGTCTAGCAATGCTCCAATTTTTTGATCCCTTCAGAAAAATAGGAAGTCTCAAAGCCTTCAAGATACGCATCCACAGCAGCGATGATTTCCTCATCGAACGAAAATTTCTTTTCCCCAAGCCAGATCTTGAGGTTTGAGAATAGAACGAAGTCACAAGGGCCAATCAGGAGAATAAAGTGGATGGGGCAGCAATTCGAATCTTAATTCATGCAATTTTACTATTGCGACTGTGGAGATGTGAGCCGGAGCATTGTCATGGTTCAGCTCTTCGTACAAACGATTTAGAAGTGTAGAATAATGCTCCTATGATTGTTTGACCCTTCTGTAAGTAGTCAATGAAGATGATTCCTTGGGAATCCCAAAAAACAGTGGCCATTATTTTCCCGGCTTCCCGACAAAACAGTCTTCGCCTTCTTCGGCGCACATTCACCAGGCGCTGTTCACTGCTTCGACTGCTGTTTTGACTCGGGTGTATAGTGATGGATCCAAATCTCGTCTACGGTCACGAATCGCCAAAAGTCTTGTGGATTGCGTTTAAGCATTGACAAGCACTGCTGCAAAATGTCTTTTCGCATGCGTTTTTGATCAATGGTAACCGCGGCATTCATCGTGCACAAAGCTTTTTCATTTCTAATTCTTTGTGGATATTACGCATCTTATCTACTGAGATGCCTACAATCAGCTATGTCACGCACCTTCATTCGGCGATCTCCCATGACGATACGATGGATTTTTTTAATCATTTCTGGCGTAGTGACTTCAACTGGACGTCCGCGGCGCGCTTCATCTTTGATGTCCGGCCTTTTTTGCATTCATTAAGCCAAAAATAAACGGTCTTCAACGCTGGTACACAGTTCCCGTGAACTTCTAATTCGGCTTTAATCTGCGCAGCCGTCCACTTCTTTAAATAAAAATCATTGCACGGACTTCGTCTTTCTCCATTTTTATGACAATTGCTGCCATGCTCGCTTCCAACGTCCGCCATATGTAAATTAAGCGTCGCTTTTGACTGAAACTTGGTATGAGGCAGTTTGAATAGTGTTACTTCCTGGCCATATACTACATAGTTCATTGTAGCGCTATCTCGCAAAAATTTACCTGACTTATCGAACGATCCTCGTACATGGTACTCTTGGCAAAAAGCAAAAACTTGCAATACCTTAAATTTATATACACAAACCAACTATGTTTGACGAAGTCAAACCGTACCGTACCGGTACCGTTTTCAACCTATGTACAAAGATTTAGCCAGCGATGATCTTTTTAATCTTAGGAGGATACATGCAGAACAGCAATGAATGTCATGAATTAATGCCATTGTTTGGTCCATTGCGCCAAAAACTTATTCAAGTGGAAAAAAAGTATTGCAGCGTTTTTATCCGTCTGTACTTAAAATAATGAGATGAGCAGTTTAATGCAAATTATGCAAATATTAGAACTCAAAATAGGCATTAACTATTATAACTTTTGCGAGGAGGCGGACGAGTAATGCATACAACGATCGGGCGCTTATTGATGGCCAAAGAGGCTCGATCTACGCTATCGTCAAAAAAAGAAGATGATAAAGAAAATTCTCTTCTTAAAGGATAACTGTATAGGACAGGAATAGCAGATTAAAGGTAAATTTAAATTTACCGTTTTTATAAACGAAAAAAAGTTACTTAAAATTTTAAACGCGTTTTTCTCAAAACGATTTTTTTCCGAATTGGCGGACATATAACTCAAACAAATATTAACCGATTAATTTAAAATTTGGTGTGCATCTTTAAAAATACATATCTCAGGGAATTATATAAGATTTTTCGATTAATTAAAAAAAATTTTTCTTTTTTTAAACAAGAAAATTACGATTTTTCCCATTAAAATCGAATGTTTTTCGAAAAATCATCACTATTTTCATAAAAATCAAAATTTAAAAATTTCGTACTTCCCTGGCAAATTTAATGTAATTTAAAAAAATTTTTTGTTTTTCTTCTAGCTCAAAATTTGCAGCTATTACCTGTCCGCTAGTACAGCACGGCCTTTCAATTTTGGTGATATGTTTACAGATTTCTGAGCACCATTAAAAAAAATGAAAAATATTTTCATAGACTTTAAAATGTGTATAATAAAGAGCAAAAAGCAAATTATTATTTATTCTATTTATTTTCACACGAAAGATTCTCAAATTTTAGGCCCATCAAGGTGGTGTTATCCCATAAATAAAACAGAACGAAATTATAATACGACTGAGAAAAAGCTTCTAGTAATAGTATAGGGAATAAAATACTTCCGACCATATTTATACGGAACAAAATTTAATCACCGATCATCGACCATTAATTTGATTATTCAGCGTTACAGATCCTGGATCGAGATACAGTGGATACAGTGGAGATCTAAATTAGAAGAATATGATTACGAAATTCCACAGGCAAAGGAAATACAAACGCCGATGCGTTAAGTAGAAATCCGATTATTCCTCACTGATAGCTAAATATCGTTGCATACGATGAAGAGAGAGATGATGACGAGGAAAGAGAGGAAGATATAAAATGAGAATATACTGCAGAAGAAAAACAAATACTTTATGAATATCATGATGCTGACAGAGGGGAATCAAGCCGCACGAACACTGAGTCGAATTAAATTATTGTATAATGCACGTCATAGAGGATTACATTAATAAATGCGAACTTTGTTAAAAAAATAAATGAAATCAGAAAACCAAAATGCTAATCACCGATACGTTGAAAAAACTATTGGAAAAATGTGCGTTCGATATAGTGGGACCACTACCCATTACAAACGCTGGAAATAAATATATCTTAACATTCCAAGATAAATTGACGAAATTTAGCAAAGCGATTTCAATAAAGAATCAAGAAGCAAATACGGTGGCAAAAGCCTTTGTCACCAAAATAATTGTCGAATATGAGATTCCCGACAAAATTCTGACTGATCAAGGCATGAATTTTATGAGCAAAATATTTAAAAACACATATAAATTGTTGAAGATCGAAAAAATTTAAATAACATTCTATCATTCATCCCGAAAGCAATGGAGCATCAGAACACAATTTCACACAGAATTTTGGCGGAATATGTTCGACACTACATAAACGGAAAACAAACGGATTGGGATGATTATGAGAAAGAATCAGTGCCATGAACCAAGTAGCAAGAAAATGTTTAAAACAAGAGAAGGTCAAAACAGACTCTACTACGATCGAACAGCGAAAACAAAAACATTTAAAATAGGCGATCAGATCCTACTGTATGACGAAACGGTCAGACGAGGACGTTCGAAAAAAAAATTGAAAGCTCAACGGATCGGACCATACATGATCATCGAGAAACGTCCGATGTAAATTATAAGCTAAAGCTTATTCGAGAACTCGAGCCATGCTTGATGTAATCTCTCCTGCCGCGCACCAGAAGAATTATTTGTATATTTGCCAGTGGCGTTGAAGGGTGTCACCGCAGTCCGATCTACATCCATCGAGAAACTAGGACCATCATCTCTCTGGAATACCGGTCGTGGGGATTCGAGAGAATATACATGTATATTGTGATATATATATATATATATATATATATATATATATATATATATATATAAAGATATATATATATATATTATATATATATATATATGTGTGTGTGTGTGTGTGTGTGTGTGTGTGTGTGTGTGTGTAGTGTGTGTGTGTGTGTGTGTTGTGTAGTCATTGTATTGTTGATGTGTTATTCTAAACACGTTATTGTGATAAATATCATCACATGCCTCAGTAGTCGAAAGGATAGATGCCCGGTAAGCAGGAGATTCAAGTTCGATTCCTGATTGAGGTGATATTTTTTCACAAAATAATTACAAGTTTTCATGACTGGTTCGTGGTCAGGCCCTGCCGTGATGCACACTCTCCTTTCTTATTTGGACCATCGTACGATAATTGCACATGCAAATCGATTGAAGGCATTTACGGAAAATTAAAACTAGCAAATAAAAATAAAAAAAAGTAAGAAGACTCACTAGTAGAGTCCTAAGGAAGCACCCAGCAAATGTCCAGAACTACTCATTTACACTAAGTACTAAAAAATACTAACTTACGCTAGTCACTAACATTAAACAATAACACTAAAACTTAAACTAAAATAATAGTCGAAATTATCATTCCGAATTATCCTCCGAGGGGGCATTCTCTCACTTCCTTGAAATCATCCGCTGGAATAACCTCATTTTCGAATCCATTCCATGATCATCCATATCCTCAACATTTTCTTCGATTTCCTCTTCATCTACCCGAGCATGCAACTAATTAGTGCATACAAATTGATCGGATTATCGGAAATTCCACTGGTTCGGAATCTGGGTCGATTGGAATATACAATATAGTATATAGTATATAATATATACTATATTGTATATTGTACTATATAATATATAGCATATAGTATATATAGACTGTTCTCTTAGACTGAGTTCAAACACACTATCATTATAGAAATGCCTAATAATTTGCATCCACCTTTCGACTCGAGGGGAAAGCTCTTGAATCGCCGAATTGTTCAGGGACTTCTTGATTCCAGCATCATCCTCCGAAATATTTAAGAGCACTTCGCTACTATCAAACACTTTGCGAACAGGTGATACGTCGCGCTCAAAATTACGGTTGGTGCCATTGCAACGGTATTAACAACTACCAAGATATAACCATAAGACTCGTTGCAAGAGATGAGACGTTAGAAAATAAAGATAAAAAATAAACGAGATAAAAATTCAGAAATCAGTTGCTGAACACATAATAATATTAAACGATTAAGATAAAATAAACACATGCTAAGAACAAGAACAAGAGGCATAGTGATGCGATAAACTAATTAGAAAGAGAGGATAGATTCTCGAACTCTTCTTCCTCTGGGAAATCAATCAATGGATCTTCATCCAAAAACGAAGCAGCTTCAGGGAAGTCAAAAATCAGGGGAGTCAATAAAAGAATTAATGAGTTCAGGAGAATTAATAGAGCGAGAAGACTTCGATAATCTTACAACAAACTGATGAGAATCCGTATCACTATCAACAGCAACACATTCAATTGTACTGTATTCGGTACTAGGATCATCATAAAAAAACCATTAAAGGGTCAGTAGGCGGAAAACTTGATGATATCAGTGAATCAGAACAATAATTAGAGCATTCACCAGCAGCAATATCGTAACGCGTCAAATAATCTGTTATATTGTTATTAAGAAAACCCCCGTGAAACAAAGCAAAATATTCGCGCCAGATATTTTCTTCGACAGATTTGCAGAAAAAACTCGTTTGAATTGTTCCGAAACATAAGAAATCGTATCAGCACTAAAAACGTTCATTTCCAAAACAACATCGAAGATTTTCTCGTCACTTAATTCGCAAACGTCGCGCACGGATAAACCACAATAGAAAACTAGCATTGCGAGGAGACATCGTTAAAAGCACTCGTTAGAGACGACCCATGGAAAACAACTAACATTAATATAATAAAAGAAGCGGGTGCTATCTTGAAAAAGATATCCCGAAGTCAAAAGATAGACACCAAAGTCTAAGAAAAGATACAGTGAAGAGAGCGAAATAAGAGTAAACGTATTTCGAGAAAGAAGAATTAAAAGATATACGCGCCAGTTCCCAACGTTACGCTAGTTATGACAAAATTTTTTCTAAGAAGTAAGAAGAATTTTATTATAATTCCAAAATAATTTTATGGGCCGCCATTTGAAATAAAGAGTTTTACTCATCATCCTGGGATATATTTCGAAGAAATCGGATTGATGAATCAGATACAGACTACATGGAAGTTAGTTATCAAATTAAATATTACCGCTCTAGGAAAACGAGCACAGCAATTATACGATTATTTAAAACAGACAGACAAACGGTGCAAAAGCATTATTGGACCTGTCAAATTTACATGCAGAAATATCATGCAAATAATGCATAGGAAACAATGAGAAGCTAACGACTATTAGCACGCTTACAGAATGTATATATAACCTGTATGTATAAACTTATGATAGCAAGAGAGATTAATAAATGTGATTGGTACAATCAGCAAAACATTAATTGGTACAATGGATGTAGATGACGCGTTATATATAAACAAGCAAATGCAATTATTGCGAAACAACCAACAAATCTTACAGCATGCCGCAAAAAATCAAATAAAGATTATCAACGCCACGATAGATGAATTAAAAAAAACAATAAGTTATAATAAAGATCGATTAAGAAATGCAAAAGAATTGCAATTAGCAAAATACAATTGTAATTAGCAATATACGCAATGCAGAGAAGATATGAATGAAAATTTACTAAGTGCTAAGGACAATAATGACAGATTTAATTAGGGACGTCAAGAATACTATTGATTATTTATCACTAACTAAAGACAGAGTAGTGAAAACTCGCCTATTGCCGCTCGAGAGTATTATAAAAGAATTGCGAGAATCCGCGACACAGCGGAAGGACATTTTCCATCTAAAATTAGGATAGAAAATAGGCACACTATATAAAAATATGTAACTATAAATGTGTATTACGATAAAACAGATATTTATATAATCGGCATAGCAATCGTTTTGCGTTACGAAAATGCCGGCCGAAAATGAAAGTCTGCAAATGTAAGCCTGCAAAATTCCTAAGCAAAGCGTAAACGAAGAAAGCGCGCTGCTTTACCATATATGGTTCGATTTAGAGTTATAACATGATGAAACGCGATACTCCTAAATATTATAAAAGTGGTTGCTAAATCGCCGAGAGCGGGCAATCACAGTAAGTAACAGAGCAGTACTGCGTAACGGACAGTCGTTATCAATAATAGCGAGTTTCACACAAAACATTGTCGTACTATAATAAACCAGTTAAGTATTAAAAATGAGTATTTGACTAGAAGAACCTTCCACCATCGATTCTGCTCGGAATTCTAACTCCTTAGGCTCGGCGAACCCTTTTCCTAAATTGAATCTTGTACTCCATCCGGACTACAACAACTGCAATTTGATCATTATCGAACATTTTTGTATCTTGCTTAACAGAGAATAATTAGATCGATTCTTATCTTTCCTTTTCAATTTTAAATTACATTGTGCAATAAGCATGAATTTGTATTTTCTTAATTGATCAGATTGACTTTTAATCTTGCGAAATTCTTCACGTATAATTTGTTTTTGTTTATTACGTGACATGTCTTTAAGTTTATTACTGTTATTGTTATTCCCAGCACTTTCCAATGGCAGCTCATTTTCACAATCCTTTTCATTTTGGATATTTTACACTAAATTATCTTTATATACAAAACCCACTTTATTATTTAATAATGCATGTCTGATATTCTCGTGATGACTCTATTAAAATATTTAAAATTTACCATTCTTAATTTATAATTTTTAAATAAACTTATGATGTTTTTCTATAAATTTGTAATTGTTTTCCTTATAATTTGATTTTTAAAACTTACTATCCTCTTCGCCTCACTTCAGAATATTGTTGGCATAACACGAATATTGTTTGAGCTTTCTTTTTCCATCAGTTCGATTATTTTCCCATATATCGTGTGAAAAATATACTTGCAATAAATGTGCAAGTAAATGGAAATGGAATTGGAAAATGGTAAAATTAAGATATAAAAATTATAAGGTATAAACAGTTAATAGACCTGCTATAATTTTTTAATGTTTACTAGGCATGTATCTTATATGTCAATCTGCGAAAAAAGATTCTTGTATATAATTATATAAAATATAATCTTAAATATACTTCACGAAGAAATGATCTTTCAGTAGGTGTCTATTCTTTTCTGCCAACATTTGCTATCCATTGCACGCCGAACTGGATTTCGAGGAAAAATTTTTATTATGAACCTTTTCTGGTCGGAATTCGTACAGTCTGGAATTGTACAACCAATTATGTTTCCAAAATGTGTAATAATTATATCAATGATATAGATAACGATAAATTTGTATAAATAATACTTAATTAAATAAACTATATTACATATAATGCATACTAAGAATTTACAATTAATTACATTATATATTAAGTTTTAGTTACAAGTATCTTAAAAGAGTAAAGTTGTATTATCTCATAAGATTTAAGATATTTTATGATAATGTCAGTACAATAAAAATACTTACCTAATATTGTTAATGTGAAAATCTACTTCTTGTAGAATATATAATTTCTCCTTATCTCTTTTTTTTTATAATAGGACTAATAGAAAAAGACGCCGAAAACACAAACTTGATGCAATGATCGCTAAACGCTATAATCGATGTCACGAATCATTAATATGTCATTAGAGAAAAAATGGCGGACTATTCTGCTCCAAATTCGAAATACTGATAAAATATATGATGGCCAGATTTTTACTCTAGAGTCTCTAGCGCGTGAAATATATTGACAGAAGGACATCGACTATTATATTAAATTGTTAATTAGACATAGATTTGGGAAATACTTTTAAATTTCTTAAAACTAAATAATTAATTAATCTCATTATAACAAAAAGTAAATTAACTAAGTAATCATTTTACGTTTTTACTGATAAATAAACGAAAGTGTGTCACGACGAGTATTACATGCGCACGCGCACTATACACATACAGTACTATACACACTCACGCATCAACTAAAGTAATATATTGCTTGAAGAGTAAAATTTTCATGAACACTATTAATTAGAGAATTACTATATTAAATTTCTAATATTAATTAATTACATCACTCAAATTATTATATAGATGCTGAAAAAATATAATAATGACTCTATAATAACAAAGAAGTATGATCTTAACGAAACACATAACAAATAACAATTCGCAAACCATATAATTTAAAAATTTGATAATTTGACAAACCTTTAACTAAAGACAAGCAAAAGAAAAAAGGAAGAAGAAGAAAACAGGCAGGAAAATAAAAGTACAACATAACAAAAGATAGATTGCAATTTTAGACACGCATGTAACGCGTAATAACCATCGTCTTCACCATTTCCTCTAATTACACTCTTGTGTAAGAATTTTTGCGGGTCACCCGTTATGTGACTCCGATATCGCGGCAACATCGGTAACCTGCGGCGTTAGCTGCTCGACACGTGAGTCATACGTGATTATTTGCGCATGCAGGTTTCGAAAATCGGGAACACGGTCCGGAGCACTCCGGTAACGAGTCGTGTGATCACTTGAATTTTAGTAATTATCGAGTCAAATTGCATAAAATTAGAGAGCCATTAGATAATTCGTACTCGAATCAAGTCGATATTTTAGTTGCGGTGCCGGTGGTGCAATACACAGTATCCCGAACTCGAGTACGATTGCATAACTGCTCTGTGTGTGTGTGCGTGCGTGCGTGCGTGTGTGCGTGCGTGCGTGCGTGCGTGCGTGCGTGTGTGCGTGCGTGCGTGCGTGCGTGTGTGCGTGCGTGTGCGTGTGTGTGTGTGTGTGTGTGTGTGTGTGTGTGTGTGTGTGTGTGTGTGTGTGTGTGTGTGTGTGTGTGTGTGTATAAAAGACATTTGAATAAATTCATAATTATTTTGGTAAATTGATTATTTTATTGATCGTGTGTGTGAATATCCTCAATCCAATGAATCACAGAAGGAACCAAATAAATAGTTACAATTAAATCAGAAGTGGGATCAGCAACCTTGTTTCCTTTGAAATCCAGCAGTAGCGTTGAAATTTGCATAAGTACGTGGCATTAGGAACCGATCTCTGAAGCAGCTTAGTCTTAATATCTTTGTTCTCTTGGTGAGTCATTCTTTATTTAAAATGGATCGCCGGATATTAGAAATGATGGAAATGGAACAGCTTAAAGAGAAAGCGAGAAAATTACGATTGTCTATAGTAGACGATCGAAATCGAATGATTAATATTTTGATGGATCATTTTGAGCAAAATACTCCGATGACGGATTTCTCTTTCTTGTTCTGCATCGCCGGGATTAGAGGAGCTATTCAGGTTTCCTCCCCCGCTCAACGTAACTCCTCAGAAACGGCCGAAACCACTAGTACAATTGCAACAGCAAATGTTGCAGCAACAGCATCTGCAGCATGAAGCGTTGCAAAAATTGCTCACTGCCCTCTCGACTCAACGAGCGCCGGATAATGCTCCAGTACGAGAAAGTATAGAAGCCGATGCTTTTTGGGAGAGTTAATCCCCGCATAGTCACAGCTCTATCAAAAATTCAGCGTTTGCAACTGTAACGTCGGCACAAGTTATACTATAGTTATACTATTAGCTTCACAGATTCCGAATTTTGGTGATAGACAAGAAGAGAATGTTATGGATAAAGAGGATTGATAAGGTAGCACAAATACACCGGGTAAGCGATGAAGTTACTTTATTAGCGGCTTCGGATAAATTAATAGACAAAGTGATGGTATTATTTACAATCCGGTCCGGTATTGGAGTCATGGAGAAATCTGAAAACAGAAATGATAAAAATGTTCGATAGGAAAATTCCATTTCATGTAGCCATGCAGAAAATAGAAGCAAGAAAATGGCAATATTACAAGGAGTCGTTCGATCAATACGTGATGGACAAATTAGTTTTGACGCATCACTTGAATTTGAAACCATCAGAAATAATTAATTTATTAATCGGCGGGATAATGAAAAATTCGTTAAGTGCGACCGCCCTTACTATACAAATGGACAGTGTTCTCAATTTCTAGAGAAAATGAGATTGATCACGGAAGGGATTAAGGAATTAAAAAAGAAGAATAGAAACCAATTTCAAAAACCAAGAAAATCAAAGGACAATGTAACTTCGACGAAAACGGATGTTCGAAGGTTTAAGGAACAGAGTAAGCCGGAAACCTGCTTCTACCGGGAGATAGGTCATCGCATCTGGGTGTGTCCGACATTGGTCGGAAGAGACCAATGCCGTACCTGCCTGTACGTCCAGTAGAACCAGCCTGTACCTGCCAGTAGTCACCACGAGTTCACGAGTTCTTGTTCACCAACGTTCGATAGCGACAATCGGCGAGGAAGGAGTCCAGTGACGAAGGAGAATGGTTCATCATTGCAGCCATCGCAGAATCGCCGCTGAAACAGATAAATATATGTATACTTTTGATAAAAGTTACTTCCATTAATAATATTGATGTAGAGTTAAGAGCGTTAATAGATACGAGTAGTCCAATCTCTCTCATATAGTTAAATAATTATCTAAATATTAATTAATTAGTCGTTAATGAGTCGTCAATAGAGTTAGAGCCCAAGAAATGTACTTTCAGATCTATTGCGAATATACCGATTAGTATTTTAGGAAAATATACTTTTAATTAAATTAGATAGGTATACGAAGCAACCGGTTAAACTTACATGCAACGTAATGGATTCCGAGTTGCTCAACGTTGATGTAATTATCGGCCGAAATTTCCTAGAAAAAAAAATATCATTAATTTATAGTCCGTTGAAAGTAAAAGATTTTGAAACTTTACAATTATTGCAACAAAAGTTATGCCTGTAAAGCAAGATATCGATTAGCGAATGTGAAATCGATTTTAATTGGCCTGTTAAAGAAAAATTGAAAGAAATCGCAATGTCGCAATAGAGAATTTAGATATAACGGTTAAAGACGATGATTACTCGGTTCGTGCTTACCTTAAAGATAAATCTACTCACGTATGCACCTAAAAGATTTGCTTGGCAAGAACGTCTGCAATTCGTGAATTTATTGACGATCTTCTTGCTCGAGATGATTGTTCAACCGAGCAATTCCCTCTATTGTGTTCACGTAGTTTCTGTTAAAAGAAAAATAATCGCATTAGATTGTGCGTAGATTTGCATCCGTTAAATGCTCGCGTGCAAAAGCAAAAATATCCCTTCTCTATTAGCGATTGCTTGACGAGATTGAATGGAAAATCAGTTTTTATGCTTCTCGATTTAAAAGACAGCTTTCATCAAATTAAAATACACGCGGATTCAACAAAATACTTTTGCAACACCGGATGAGCAGTACGAATATTATACATGGTTACCTTTCGGATATTCTGAATCATCAGCAGAATTCACTAGCAGAAAAAAGAATCATACAAATTTTGCAACCTTTGATTCGTGACGATAAAATTCTGATATATATTGACGATATATTGATACCGACAAAAACAGTCGAAGAAAATTTAGGGATTCTTAGAGAAGTGTTGATAATATTAAAAAGTTATGGTTTTGAATTGAATTATAATAAATGTTTGTTTTGCCGTCGTATTGAATTAGGTTACATAATTAAAGAAAATGAAATAACATTAAGTTCTCATCACATGCAAGCAATCCACGATTTTCCGTATCCGAAAATATACAACGTACGCCAATTTTTAGGTCTCGCAAATTATTTCAGGAAATTTATTAATCATTACGCAATATTAAATCTTTGCAAGAATTACTTAAAAAGAACGCCATGTTTAATTTCTCAAACGATTGTGTCGTAGCGTTTAACGAGTTAAAAGAAAAACTTACCTCTTGTACTTCGTTTATATAATCGCTCGGCAGCGACGGAATTGCACATCGACGCAAGCGTGAATGGCCTCGGTGTGATTTTATTACAGCGACAATCCGATGCAAAGTGGGCACCGGTATTTTAGTCAATCCGTATAAAACGGAAGCGAACTATCATTCTTTTGAAGTAGAAATGTTGGCGATCGTACGCGCTATAGAACGTTTTCATATTTATTTGTATGGATTAAACTTTACAGTAGTAACAGATTGTAACGCATTAACTCACGTTATCAATAAAGCTAACTTAAATCCGAGAATTGCCAAATGGATTTTGCTCTTACAAAATTATACATTTATAATAACTCATCGGGTAAATGAATGCAGCACGTTGATGTCCTGAGCCGTTAGGTTATGCTTTTGGAATCGTTTCCTCTTGAGAAAGAGCTTGAATTTAAATAATTGCAAGATGCACGTCTCAAAGAGATAGCTCATAACCTAGAATTTGATAATGAAAAATTTGAATTGATCGAAGGCTTAATTTATATAGAAAAGATAATGATCGCCCACGTTTCGCCGTTCCAGAAAATATGTAGTACATACTATTATACGTACTTACTATGATAATAAAGTACATTGCGGCTTCGAGAAAACGGTATACATGAAACTTATTGGTTTCCGTCGATGCAAAAGCGAATACGCGATTACATAGAAAATTGCGTGACGTGTTTGGTGACGAACTATAATATTATTTTAAAAAGGAAATTAGAACTACTGTCATTTAACTTTTAGAATAAGAAGGCTTTAATGGGAATATAAAGATATGTATCACATGGGTTTTTATTTTTTTTAAAATAGTTGTATATTGAACCTTTAAGATGATGTAACTATAACTTGACGCCATTTTTTTATATCAAATATTCTTTATACAAATGATATTTATTATTAGAGTTGAGTATTACATTACATATTATTTGAATATTATACATAAGATTACATAATTTTGTAATATAAACAGAAAAATTCTGAATTAAACTGAAAAATTTTGAATTAAAACAGAAAAATTCTTGGAAAGACATATGTCAAATTTTATTTTTATTTTTTTAAAAAGATTGAACTTTTCAGATAATGTAATTATAACTTGGCGCCACTTTTTTGATATCAAATCTTATACAAATGATACATATTATTAGAAGTGAGTAGTATATATTATATATATTATCATTGAACATCAGTAAGATGACGTAATTTTATAACATTTGGATTGAAATAGAAATACTCTTGAATGTAAAAATATGTACTTGAGTTTTATTTTTATTAAGTTTTATTTTTTTAAGAAGATATAACTGGCGTTAGTAATTGATAAAAAGCTTTTAATTGATATTTATCACGGGTTTTATATTTAAGAGCAATTGTATATTAAATTTCCGAGATAATGTAACTATAACTTGACGCCACTTTGTTGAATCTTTTATACAAGTATTAGAATTGAGTATTATGTACTATTCGAACGCTAGACATTAGATTGCATAATTTTGTAAATATAAACTTGAATAAAATAAAAAGTTCTCTGGTGCGAAACTATGAATCTTGAATTTTATTTTTATTTTTAAGAAGATATAATTTGCGTCAGTATTGAAAAACTTGTTTTCTATTAAAAAATAACACTTTTATATCCTTCATAATAATCCTTCACGCATACACACTACGCGTACACTTGGCGATTTTTTTACTTTTTTATAAAAAGTAAGTTTGTT